TTGTCCCTGATCCATAACATTTTGGTATATTATTAAACTTCTATGGTTCAGATTATTTTTTACTTAGCTATAATTTGTAACTACATACCTTTTTTGTTTTCAGAAGTTATTAAAATAAAAATGAAGTGGCTTCCTATAGGACTTAAGAAAAATTACCTCCCAAATGCATATTTACCTGTTCTGTTGTTAAATGTGAAATTGTAAACCTTGCTTCTACTATGTAATTTGCAGTCTAACAAATTTTAAAAAGTAATCTACCTTTCAGACTATTTTAAGTATTTAACATTTTTTTGTATGGTAGTTAATTCATTATGATTGTTGTGGCTTTTTTTGGTTCTTGATTTGGTTTGAATTGCTTCTAATAGAAGATGTTGAGCAAAGATTGTTCAGGAGTTTATCTTGCTGTTTTATAAAACTGTATTCTAGGCCACAATAATTTTTAAAAAATCGCAAAAGTCTTTCTCCACATTTTTAGCTGCTAACATTTTAATTCACTTTTAAAGTGTCCTGTTTAAAAAATAATGGAGGGAATGGAATAGATTTGGTGTTTAGCTAAGAGAAATGTAAAGTGACAGCTATTAGAAAGGCTGTTATTAAGTTGAAAATTCACTACAACAATCAAACCAATACTCAATCAGACTATAGCATTTGGACTCAATGTAGAGATTCTGAATTTGTTCATTAACAGTTGCAATAAAACTGTTTAACACAGTGATAGTATTATGTATCACAGTGATTTCCAGTAAACTGAAGTATGTTCAGCTTGGTGTCTAGTTAGGTTAATGTTTAGTTGATTGTGCTTATTCAGGTTACCTAACATGAGAAAGTACTGTTTCATGGTCTCTCATGCAGTGTTACCAGATTGCCAGATATAAGTGTAGATACATCATGAGGTTATTGTCCCATTTCTTCATGCTTATTTCATCACAGAGGCTGACCCCAGCCTCTCCAGTTTCTTTGAATTCGTTGTCCAGCTCTTTCCTATATCCTTATCTGTGGACTTTTTGCTAAAGGAAATTCCTTGTTTAATTGGTGTTTCAGAAAAATGGGAAAATTCATGGCCCATTGTCTCTGGAGTCATATCATCATCTTCACTAGCAATTAAGTGAAAAGCAGGCTCTAAAATTTTTCTCACAAAATTACCAACATGAATATTATCTTTAATATTGTGCATTTAATATTAATGCACAATATTAACGTTAGCATTATTAATATTAGCATTATTTAATAATGCTCATTGTGATAAACATGAAAAAATTAACTTACCACAAATCACTTTGTCTGCATTTAAAAAATTGTTGGTATAAATAAATATATTGAAATAAATTTCAAAGAGAAAGTGTTTAAAAATCTCATGTACCATTGAAATGATTTTATTTTTTCCTGTTTAGGTTATAACCCACTTCAAGTCTTTGTAAATAAATGGAAATAGATCTATGAGAAAAGTTGATATATAATTACTAACAGATTACCCTGAAACTTAACTTAGTAGCACAGCAGACATTTATCATCTCATGACATGTATCATTCCTGTGGGTCAGAAATTTGGAGCAGGTTAGCTAGGTATTTCTGGCTCTGAGTCTTTCATGAGATTGTGGTCAAGCTTTTGGTCAGTGCTGCAGTTGTTTCAAGGTTCCACTGGGTCTGTAGAATCGGCTTCCATGTTCATTCATGTATGGTTCTTGGCAAGAGACCTTAGTCCTCCCTGGAGTCCTCATTTCATAGCCACATGGTGCTCTCTGTAAGGCTGCTTGAGTGTCCTTGAAACATAGCAGCTGATTTCTCTAGAATATATATATAATTGCAAATGACCTAGATGGTGTCTGACCATAAACATCAGACACCATCACTTCTGCCGTATTCTGTTTGTTTAGAAGCAAGGCAAAGAATGGGGAATTGGGCTCTGCCTTTTGAAGGGAAGATTGAAGGGTTTGAAGTCACAGTCACCACAAAGATGTACACTAAGGAGTCTTAACATTATATGATAAATGCTGTACTAGTTCCTTAATAGAGTAATTCTCAACTCTGATACTGTATCAGACTTATCTGTACAGCTCTTATAAAACAAACAAAGCAAAATGCAGATGGTTGTATTAGACCTGTTGATTCACTTGCAGTCAGATTTTCCATAGGTGTTTCTACTGTGCAGCCAAAGCTGTCCAGTGTCTTTAAGATGTACTTTTTGATTCAGTGACATGTTACTGCTATAATTCTGTAAAACTGTTACATTCCAGATATGTATAGGAATTAAGACTTTTTGGTATATGTATTAAAGTATTTTCTAGCTTTAATGTGTATAAGTTCCTTATTAATATTCTAGCATTTGAACTTTTGGTAGAACATGTGGAATTTCTATTTTGTGTTTAGTATTGTTAGAGTTAAAATTGCTAATAGTTGTTACAATAAAGAGCGATAAAAATGAATTGAAGGATGTCATGTATCATGTATGTATCTGTTTTTCCTCAAATGAACTATTAGGTTATCCTATCTCTCCCCCTCATTTGTAGTCATCTCTCCCTACTGTAATTCCCTAATGTATTTGTCTTTTTTTTAAAACTGTAATTGGTAAGTCTTTTTGTGTCATCAGTATCCTTTGAAAATTTAATTTACTGAGCATTATTTATGTTACTGGCATGAAACTAAGAGAAGCTAAGCTGGGGGTGGATTCTAACTTGGGATTTTGCCAAGTTGGTGGCATAGAAGAAGAGTAGAAAGAAAGTGAGGCAAACATGGCTGAGGAATTTAGAGGTTGTTTGAAATAGTGGACTCTAAGGGGAGAGTACAGGAGGAAGTAAATTAGAGGAACTGTGCCTTGGACAGCAACTAAGGGAGGTATTGTAGGGGGCTTTTACTAGGATGGATAGGGAGTTGGTGGCTGTAACTAGATGTTTGTAGCAGTAAGTAAATTGGAGGTCTGGTTTTTGGGTAGCTCGTTGTAAGAAGCAATTTGGTGTAGTGGTTAAGAGAGCAGACTTTAGAGTAAGAAATTTAGGTTTAAATCTTGGTTCTGTTACTAATTTACATGTAGTCTTGGGCAGTTTGCTTAACTTTTTCCTGAGCCTCAGTTTCATCAGTAAAATGAGAACTAAATATAGAATGTAAAGTGTGGAGCAGTGTTCATGGCACAAATGAGGGTTCAGTAAATGTTAGTGCTTAGCTATTGCTATTATTTTATTATTATTTACCATAACTTGTAAAATGATCTTTAATTAAATAGGTAGCAACTTCAGCTTAGTTGAAAAACAATTATCTGCTTTTTAGCAATTGGATGGGCATGGTTTGGGCATCAAAAACTTTCCCTCTTCCCTCCTGACCCTGTTTCTTTTTCACTTCCTACTCCCTACCCCCATCAACAAATAACCGTAGTTACTTGTTTATACTTATAGCTATTCATTATTCAGACATAAGCCAACCCAAATATATAATCTCCTTTTCTTCCCACACAAATGGTAATACACTATACAAGCTTTTTCTCTATCTCGCTTTTTAAACTTAACAAATTGATAGGAAAATTTCTCCATGATATGAAAACTTCCTCATTCTTTTTTGTCTTTTTGCTGTATCCCATTCCCTTGTGTAGATTTAGTATACTTTCTTTTTCCAGTCCTCTGTAAATGGACAGTTGCAGATTTTTGGTTTTACAATCAGTGTGACACTGAATGACTTGTACACATATCATTTTGAACATGTAAGTATATCTGTAAAGTTAATTCATTGAAGTAGAATTGCTGGGTCAGTTGTATTTGTGATCTTTTTACTGCCATACCCTAGGAGCTACCAGTTTACTCTCAGCAGCAATAATGTATGAAAACTGATTGTTTCTGTCTTGCCTCCAGAATATGTTTCCATATATTTAGATTTTATCAACTTTATAACAGAAAAATGATATTTCAGTATAGCTTAAGTTTGAATTTATCTTATGGATGATGTTATATTTTTACTCATATTTAAGAATCATTTTTATTTCTTTTTCTGTTTAGTATTTCATTTGACTTTTAAGTCTTTTTTACATTCTTAAGTTTTTGCTTCTTTTGTATAATCAAATTACTCTTGTGCAATATATGGATTTTCTCTCATAATTCAAAAGGTCTTCATTACTCCAGAGTTGTAAAATAACTTTTTCTTGTTTTCTTCTAATACTTTAATGGTTTCATGTTTTTACTGTGGTATATGGAATAAGTTATGGGTCCAACTTAATTTTTTAGAAAGATAGCTGCCAAGTTTTCTTAGTACCATTTATTTTGTAGTTCATCCCTTCTTCCTTGACTTGGATGTCACCTTTATAAAATTTATGTTTCTATATATATTTGGGTCTATTTCTAAACTTGCTTTTCTTTCATTAAAATTCTGTATTGTGTGGTATGTTTTCAAGTTTCCCTTTATTGTCCTCTTTTTCAGGGTTTTTCTGACCATTATTTACCTTGTTCTGGGGGAGAATAGCCTCTTGGTATTTTTTTTTTTTTGCGGTACGCGGGCCTCTCACTGTTGTGGCCTCTCCCGTTGTGGAGCACAGGCTCCGGACGCGCAGGCTCAGCGGCCATGGCTCATGGGCCCAGCCGCTCTGCGGCATGTGGGATCTTCCCAGATAGGGGCACGAACCCGTGTCCCCTGCATCAGCAGGCGGACTCTCAACCACTGTGCCACCAGGGAAGCCCGCCTCTTGGTATTTTTATTGGTACCACACTAATTATTAGTTTTTGATGTTTTGGTGTTGTTTATAATTTGTTATAACTTCTTTTTTTAATAATAGAGCCTAATGAATCTTTAATACATGTATTAGTGTGTATTTGGCAGAATACTGAATGATGACTACATATACCATGTAAAGCATATTAAGATAAGGGAGAGAAACTTATATTTCTTCATTGCTTTCTATGTACCAGATGCTTTTTTACATATATTAACTCATTGAACTATCATGCTATTAGTTTGTAACTGGAATTCATAGAATGTGCAATTTTTTATGGTTAAATTTCCTTCAACATTGCTTTTTTCTTCAGCTGTGATGCAGATCCATCAGCCCTGGCAAAATATGTTCTCGCTTTGGTAAAGAAAGACAAAAGTGAAAAAGAATTAAAGGCGTTATGTATTGATCAACTGGATGTATTTCTTCAAAAAGGTAAGATCTTTGGTTTAAAAATACTAATTTAAAAAGTTATTTAAAATAAGATTCAGAGAGTGTTAAAGGAATTCACTAAGAGACAGACTCTAACTGTAACAAAGTTGAACAAATAGTATTATTACTGATTATATCCATAGCTTATTTATAATGGAAATCTTTTCTTTCATTAACATCCATATGCTTATTCTTAAAGAATGCTGTTATTTTTTTCTTAAGAGATTAAGAAAATGACTGAAAGATAGTACTGCTTAGGAACCTACTTTGGATGTTGTCTAGCACAGTGCTTCTCAAATTTTTTCACCTTGCCAGCATTTAGGTAATGATAATATTTCTGTTTGGCACACTAGGCAGGATACATGGAGACTAGTGATGGCTGGGAGCGACTGACCCAGAGGCTCTAGCCATTCTAGCCCTCAGCATCCTGAGAATTGAATGGATCGGTATTACCATGGGACTTGTGCCATAGCACACTGGTTGGGAAGCTGTTGGTCTTAGTATAATTTTTAGATTTATAAAAAATCAAGGCATATTTCATCATACTGATGTGGAGAAGTAGAGAATAAATATCTTAGCAAATGTTTTTTAATCTATGCTGGTTTTGGTTTTATTTTTAGAGACGCAGATATTTGTGGAAAAACTTTTTGATGCTGTGAATACAAAGAGTTATCTACCTTCTCCAGAGCAGCCATCATCAGGAAGCTTAAAGGTAGAATTTTTTCAGCACCAAGAAAAAGATATAAAAAAAGAAGAGGTAAGAATTTGTGTTAAACTTTACATGTTCTTTAAAAACATATTTGGAGTGATTAAACTGAGTTTTATTTTTTTTAATTTATTTTTAGTTTTATTTATTTTTATCTGTGTTGGGAGTCCTCAAGACCACCTCCAGGTTTGATTATTTCACTAGGAGTACTCACAGAACTCAGAGCATATAGTCATACTCATGGCTATGATTTCTTACAGTGAAAGGATACAAAGCAAAATCAGCAAAGGGAAAAAAGTATATGGTGCAAAATCTGGGGAAAAACAGGAACAGATTTCCAGAGGTTTCTTCCAGTGGAGTCAAAGAAGATGCACTTAACAAGTAGTGACAACATGTGTGAACCAGGGACGCTCATTAGAGACACAGTGCCCAGGGTTTTTATTTAGCGCTCGTTACATAGGCATCTTCAGCCTTATATGTACCAAAATTCCAGACTCTGAGGAGGAAAGCAGATGTTCAGCATAGACCATATTGTTTATCCAGACAGTTTAGGCATAGTGAGCTATTGTTATCAGGGAATGATGTGAACCTTCCAGAAATTGTTTGCAGATGCCAGCTAAGGGCTTACCTTATCAGCAGGTCTTTCTAAAGATAACAGTCTCAGGAGTGCTTTTAACTCTTTTCTGCACAGTATTTATAGGTATGGACTCTTATTATCTGTGTTCTATGAAAACAGTTAGATTGTCAGTAGATCTGTTTGCTTCTGCCTACATGCATTTTGTAGGGGACTTTTTTTTTAAAATAGATTTATTTATTTATTATTTATTTTTGGCTGTGTTGGGTCTTCCTTGTTGCACACGGGCATTCTCTAGTTGTGGTGAGCGGGGGCTGCTCTTCGTTGCAGTGCACGGGCTTCTCATTGTAGTGGCTTCTCTTATTGTGGTGCCCATGCTTCAGTAGTTGTGGCACACGGGCTTAGTTGCTCCACGGCACGTGGGATCTTCCCAGACCAGGGCTCGAACCCGTGTCCCCTGCATTGGCAGGCAGATTCTTAACCACTGCGCCACCAGGGAAGCCCTGTAGGGGACTATTTTTAAGGTAGTCAAATAAAAGGACCTTCACAGGGCAATGTAAATGACTTCATACTTTAAGAGGTGTTTACCTTTCATACAAGATTACCCTCTTGTTTAATAATCATATAATAGTTCAAATTTCCTCAGTTTGATGTTTAAAGCTTGTAATTTTAACAAAAATAATCGTTGACAGTTAAGCTATTAATATAATATATCCATGGTTAGCCTAGTTTTAGGTCAAACAAATCTTGGTTAAATTTTTACCACCGTTTGGGGCTTCCCTGGTGGCGCAGTGGTTGAGAGTCCGCCTGCCAATGCAGGGGACATTGGTTCAAGCCCTGGTCCGGGAGGATCCCACATGCCGCGGAGCAATGAAGCCCGTGTGCCACAACTACTGAGCCTGCTCTCTAGAGCCCACGAGCCACAACTTGAGCCTGAGTGCCACACTGCTGAAGCCCGCACGCCTAGAGCCCGTGCTTTGCAACAAGAGAAGCCAGCCAATGAGAAGCCTGCGCACTGCAACGAAGAGTAGCCCCTGCTCGCCGCAACTAGAGAAAAGCCTGTGCACAGCAACAAAGACCCAATGCAGCCAAAAATAAAAATAAATAAAATAAATTAATTTAAAAAAATTTTTACCACCGTTTTGTGACCTTGAAATTATTACTTTTCCAACCCTTAGTTTACTCAGCCGTGAAATGGAAATATTATAGGGCTGTTGTGAGGAATAGTAAAATAAGGTCTGTGAAGCACTTGGCAGAGTGTGTGGCGCAAAGTAGGTTCTCAGTAAATGATAGTTGCTATTATTGTTGAGACATTGTTGTGTGGTGGGTGTGGTTGTGGCCTTTGGTTTTTTTTCACCTGATACTCTGTTTTTTTCCAGATTATATAAGTAATATATGTTCGTTATATTTACATATGTGTTATATAATAATATTTACGTATGTATGATATGTATTGTAATTTACATATGTATTTACATATGTATTATATAATTCTCAAATGTATTTTTGTCTCTGTATATCTGAACATATTTGCACACATGTATATATATATATATAGTTACATGCACATATACATAAGACACCCCCATCACTTCTGTCTTCAGAGGAAGACCAGAAATAATTTTATAACTGCATGTTTTGTACCTAACGGTATAGGGGGTCTGTTAGTAAGGAAGAATGGGATAGTGGATATTGTCTTGGCAACTGCTTATGCAACATAGAGATATACAATAATTTATTTAAATTTTACCCATTGATGGAAGTCTGGATTGGTTCCAGAATTTTTTCCAGATAATTGCAAATTATATTTTAATTCTTGGAAATCTTGAGTAAATCACGGGCTCTTTGTTTGAGAAGCAGTAAGCCTTAGTCTTACATCTGTTGATATAATAATATTTCACCACAGTTGTCTTGAGCAGTTGTGAAGGATATTTATCCCTCATCTTTCAGAACCGAAATGTCAGATGGCAGTCTGGACTTTAAATGCTGTGGGTGTTGTGAAAGTTAGCAGTTGGGCAGGTACCATGGAATGTGACAGTCTGTCAACCTAACTTATTTACAAGAGTGCATGGAAGCAAACTGAAGGGAAAAAGTGCATCAGGAGGGTTTTTTGTTTTGTTTTGTTTTTGCAGGGGGGAAGGTTGAAATGGATAGGAAGAGTAGAACAAAAAAAGTACTTACAAGAAAGAAAAAGGCAAACTGTTAAAAGAAGGCTTTTAAGTATTATTTCTCAGAGTTTGGTCTGTTGATAGGATTTCCATTTAATTTATCATCCAGTGTGAGACACTTGACAGTGAGAGGCTTTTACCCAAAGGAATGCTGAAACAGCTGGCATAAACTGGGACATATTTATGCTATCTGTAGACTATGTGCATAAGAATATCTTAGGGTTTTTATTAAACATGCAAAATCTTGAGCCGTATCATATTTACAGAAGCTCATGTTCAGTATTTTCTGAATTTGTTTATCCTCTGAATCCTTTTTTCTCTAATAACACCTCTTAATGTCCTGTGGAACCAGTTTTTTGGGCAGCATGGAAAACTGGTCTACAGAAAGTAGCACTGATCAAGGAAATGTTTTTCAGGGCTGCATTATATTAATTATATAATATGAATTGTAGGAAAGAGGAATGTATAGCTGTCATACTGCTGTGAGAAACTAGGGAACTGTTTTCACTTGTTTGTTTATTTTCACAGGTATTTTTTTCTCAAATGTTTTCTTTTTCTATGACTTGGTTAGTTCTAATGCATTCTCCTTTAGTCCCTAATGTGTTTGGTGCCAGATCAAATCCATGAAACCAAAACTTGAATGGACTTTTGAAAGAAGGAATAAAATTGGCTTTCCATTAATGATGTGTAAAATGAGGACACTTGCTTAAAATGTTTTTCTTGCTACTGTTATCTAAGATAAGCATTTATGAATTTCTTTACCATTCACTTTAACTTTCAGCAAGCCTGTCTTTTATTGTTAAATTAAATGATTGTACTTAGAAGACATTATTTTGTTTAATGCTTTCACAAGAAGACTCTGTTGCTCATATTTTAATATCAGTTAAGTCATTGAAACAGTAACATGGCAAGGAATAACTGTTGTTAACCTTGCACACATTTTTCTTTGTGTATCAGATCACAAAAGAGGAAGAACGAGAGAAGAAGTTTTCTAGAAGGCTAAATCACAGTCCTCCTCAGTCAAGCTCCCGATACAGAGAAAATAGGTGATTGATTCTTTGAACCATGTTCAATGTTTAGACATTGCTTTTATTTTATATGAATATTTAGACTTGATTTTCTTTTACATAGGGGTAAGTAATATCTACTCTTTTATTGGTCTAGGAAAGTGATAACTCACTCCTTTTCTACCAAGAATATCTAGGTGAGATTTGTTGGTCCTGGAAGTGAGATTTAGAACAGTGCTCAGCATATGTTTGTTATTGTTATTATTTTTATTCCTAACTGCAAATTCCAGTGAAGTCTTAATGTGAGACCTTTTTTGCCCAAAGTTTCCCTTTAGAGTAAATACATTATTTTTCCCATTAAGGCTTCAAAAGCATTTAGAGTGCAGTGCATGTAATATATGCCTATAAGTATGAGACTGTGTACAAGACAATATATACTACAGGACATATGTACAGATCCCTTAATGTATAGAAGCATTTGTGTATAAAATGAAGACTTCAAAAGAGTTCTTTTTTTCCTTAGGGGTTTTAGAGTACTTTAGCAGGTCATGTTCAGGTTTTCAGTTTTTTGAGTTTCCTATGTTTGTATTCTGATGGTGGGATAAAGAATCATGGTGGTACAAGAATAAAATAGAACTTTTGCCTATAATTGGAGTTTTTCCTGTATCCACTTAAATATTTTCATAAAAGTGATCATATATTTCTTTAGAAGTCGTGATGAGAGGAAAAAAGATGATCGTTCTCGCAAAAGAGATTATGATCGAAACCCTCCTCGAAGAGATTCATACAGAGACCGGTACAATAGAAGACGAGGGCGAAGTCGCAGTTACAGCAGGAGTCGGAGTCGAAGTTGGAGTAAAGAGAGGCTTCGTGACAGGGATAGAGATAGAAGCAGGACTAGAAGCAGAAGCAGGACCCGAAGCAGGGGTAAATAATCCACATATCTGTATATTTTGGTTGGCACTTTCATTGTGAAAAAAATTCTGTATTTGAGGGTTTTAAAAATTGTTTTAATTTTGTCAATGTTATCTTTATTTTCTTCTATTTTGATGTATTTTGTGAGTCCAAGTGAATGCTTTTTAAAAATTTCTTTAAAAATTTTTATTTTATACAAATTAAAGCCACAATGAATTACCACTGTACACCCATCAGAATGATTGAAATTAAAAAGACTTGCTTTACCCAGTGTTGGTGAGGATGGAGATAAGCTGGAACTCTTTGGAAAACACTTGAACAGTATCTTAAAAATGTTAAGCCTATACCTACCAAATGATCCAGTCAGTCATTCCACTCCTAGGTGTTTACTTAAAAGAAATGAAAGTGTATTTCCACACAAAGACATACACAGATGATCATGGCAGCTTCATTTGTTATAGCCAAAAGCTAGAAATAATCCAAACGTCCATCAACAGGTGAATGGATGAACCAATTATGGTATATCCATAGAATGGATAAAAAGGAAAGAACTATTGATACATGTAGGAAAATGCATGAATCTCAAAATAATTATGCTGATTGAAAGAAGCCACACAAAAAAGTGTGTGTGTGTGTGTGTGTGTGTGTGTGAGAGAGAGAGAGAGAGACACAGAGACATAGAATTTTAGAAAATGCAGACTAATCTATGATGACAGAAAACAACTCAGTGGTTGCCTGGGATAAAGTAAAGGAGGGATGGATCATAAAAGGGAACAAGGATACTTTTGGGGGGTGATGAGTATGTACAGTATATACCTTATTTTGATTGTGATGTTTGGTTTCACAGGTGTATACATAGATAAAAATTCATTAAATTGTACATTTTAAGTATGTTCAGTTTATCATATATCAGACCTCAAAACTATGAAAACAGTTAAAAATTTTCATTTCAGATGTGTGAGTTTACAGGAGTGTCTCATTTCCAACATGCATATTTTTCTTTCAATGTGTATTATTGAAAGGGATATATTGCAGGCAGTAGAACAACTAAACACCTTAAGAGTAAAACACCTTTACTCAACTTAGATTTTTACTACCCTTGCGAACTTTATTGTATAGTTACTTTTAGTCTTTAGGAAATAATATTTATGGCTTTTGTATAAGCCCTGTATTTCTCTGTTACTCTTAGAGTTTTTCCCTGCCCTGTGATCTAGGTGTATTAGGCCTTTCTGCACATTGCTTCACTTAACTGATCTCCTTAATGTCTTTTCTCTTTCCTTGGTAAATTTTCTTTTCTTGGCCCAGTTAATTTCTTTGTGTTTATTATGTACTCCTTTTTCTTCCTCTGTACACATCCATTCTCATCTTCAACAAATAGTGTTCAGTGTATAAAGCCATGCTAGGACCTTTGAATGGATGACAACTAAATATTCACCACAGAAAAAATAACCATACTTGTATATTTTGTTTTGTTGGCTAAAGTTATGCATACTAAGATTGCAATGAAGAAAATTTTAAAATTCTCTGCTAAGTAAAGCTCAAAGAAAAATCTCATTAAGTACAGCAAGTTTATGTGTGATTTTTTAGTTTAGGTCATATTGAAAAGAAATTGCTTATCTTGGAACATTGTATATACATTGAATAGTTTTTAAAAGGAGGATTGTGTAAAATTTGAACTTTTTCTCTATGTTTAGCAAAAATATTGGGTTGGCCAAAAAGTTCATTTGGGTTTTTCCATAACGTCTTATGGAAAAACCCAAACGAACCTTTTGGCGAACCTAATATCTATTTCTTAGCTTGGGGACATGTGTGTTTTTTGTTTTTTTGTTTAATAGAGTGTAGTTTTATAAGTCATTTATATTTTGTTGCAGAAAGGGATCTGGTAAAACCTAAATATGACCTGGATAGAGCAGATGCATTAGAAAACAATTATACTCCAGTCTCTTCGGTACCTAATATTTCATCTGGCCACTACCCTGTACCTACTTTGAGCAGCACTATTACAGTAATTGCTCCTACTCATCATGGTAATAATACTACCGAAAGTTGGTCTGAATTTCATGAAGACCAAGTGGACCATAACTCGTATGTAAGACCACCAATGCCAAAGAAACGGTGTAGAGACTATGATGGTAAGCCTGTCAACTATTTCATGAGGTATCAAATTAATATTTCCAGCTGAGTAACCTCTGTAAATTTAGGTTATACACACTCAAAGACTTATTAACCTATTGGAAATAGTGGGAAATTAGTTTTAAGCACTTCATGAATTCCTCAGTATATTACTGAAGTCTTCATTAGTCACCACTGACTATTGAATATTAATTTAAAGATAGTGTTTATTTGCACCAAGTCTTAACATATTTCTGGAATTTGCCAAACAAGAGTAATATCTACTGAGTTACCTACCAGGGAATTGGCTACTGAAACATTCTTGACAAAACTTACTTCTTTAGAAATCAGTGGTTATTAGCATGTAAGTAAAACCTAGAAATGTGAATATCACCTATATAAACATTTTATAAATGAATTGAAGACTCTTTAAGATTTTACTGTAAAAGTTTTGTAAACTATTAAAGCTGTATCATGTTGCTAGCTGGGTATACTCATTTTAATTTGGTAATATATTTTTTAGTGGGTATGTTAGCTATATTTTCACTTAATATATATTTTATATTACTGGAAATGAGTAGGTAGCTCTTGTGATATGGTTACTTATATTTGCCCAATATTAAAAATATTCCTATTTTTAAATATCTCCACTTTTTTTAACTTAGAGAAAATGTATATGTCCAGCAGTTTTCATATTTCTTTCTAATTGTTCTTCCTCACAGAAAAGGGTTTCTGTATGAGAGGAGACATGTGCCCTTTTGATCATGGAAGTGACCCGGTAGTTGTAGAAGATGTCAATCTTCCTGGTATGCTGCCTTTCCCAGCACAGCCTCCTGTTGTTGAAGGACCACCTCCTCCTGGACTCCCTCCACCACCACCAATTCTTACACCCCCACCTGTGAATCTGAGACCCCCAGTGCCACCGCCAGGCCCATTACCACCCAGTCTACCACCTGTCACAGGTAAGTAAATATGTTTGCCTATACTTATTATCTATCCATAGTCTTTTATAAAAGTTGATAGTTTGATGCTTGATTTTGTTAAAAGTATCTAAAGTAATCCTATAGATGCCTGTTAGGAACTAAGAGTAAGATGCTCCCATCTGGAATATACTCCTTATTTTTCAGACTGTGCCAAACCTATGGTTTACTGTGGTTTAGGGTGGCCCTGAATTATGCATGTTACTGATGAATCCCAGCTATCTGTAGTCCTTTATAGCTTAAGACAAACCTGTTTTGGAATACATTAAATGAATATTTTACCCTGAAAAACTCATATAGTTGTAAGAGCTTGGTGTTTGTAGATATTATAATTTGCTAAAGGAGAATATCACGTTTGGATATACAATAACTTATTTTATTTGTTTGCTTTCAGATGATATTTCTTATTCTTTGGTTTTGACAGGACCACCACCTCCACTTCCTCCTTTGCAACCATCTGGCATGGATGCTCCCCCAAACTCTGCGACCAGCTCTGTTCCTACTGTGGTAACAACTGGCATCCATCACCAGCCTCCTCCTGCTCCACCCTCTCTTTTTACTGCAGGTGCGGTTTTGGCCCTCTGTGTATTAATAATGTAGTATAGTTTAGAGAAGAGTTTTAGGTGAGGAATTTAAAAATGTCTAGAGAGTGAATTGCTCTATCAAGTCTGTTTTTCTTACTAAAATTCTATGGAATAAAATGTAGACATGGTGAATGCACATTAAATATAAGTTCTCAGTTACACTTTTTAAAAAACTAAGTTTTTAATATTTAATTTTTATAAGACTATTTTTAAAAATACATATGCACGTTAGTTATGAATTAGTAATATGTTACGTAGTTGACTTTTTCTATTATCAGTATAAAAAAATTACCAAGAGGAGTTTTATAATTGTTTTTTAATTGCAGTTTTTGTATTACCAGATACATATGACACAGATGGTTACAATCCTGAAGCCCCAAGCATAACAAACACTTCCAGACCAATGTATCGACACAGAGTGCATGCGCAAAGGCCTAACTTGATAGGACTAACATCAGGGGATATGGATTTGCCACCCAGAGGTACTATGATGAATCTTTTCTTCTTATCATTTTCATAATATCAAGAGTGGCAAAGCATTTGAAAAGAACAGTCAGTCCTGTGTTTATTGGAGTTGAGTAAGGGATGATACTTATGTTTGTTCCTTGGATCCTTTGGTCTCACATGAGAGAAAAGGTAATGTGTGGTACCCTATTTGTGGTGTTGGTGACATTTTATTCTGTCATCCAAGGGGAAAGGAATTTCCCCAAAGTCCTTATTTTCTAGCTTTTTGGGGGTATATGCTATCATTTGCAGTCTTAATTGGTTCATTTAAACTCTTTAAGAATAATGCTTTAATTCCTAAAGATAAATTCTTTTGTAGTTTAGATCATGAAATTAGCTTACAAATTTAATGCTTGATACATATTTTATTTTTGTTTGCTTTTGACATGTTAGAATTTGATACTGGTTTGCTTATAATACTTTAAGCAAAAAGAATTATATTTTAGAAAGTGACTTGTTAGCTTTTAAAATTTTCTTAGAGGAGACAGACTTTTTGGTATAATTTCTAAGTGGGAGAAGAAGATAGAATTTAGACTGGTCCACAAGCCAGGGCAGGAAAAGTGCTATACAGAGGTGCAAACTGATACAAAGGTTCAGAGGAGGGAGAGTTCACATTAATTTGAAAGATGGAGCAATGTTGTCAGACATTATAGAAAATATTATACAGGCCAATAAAAATATATCTTTTTTCCTAACTACTTCAACTAACTTTTAAATCCCATTTTCTTTCCAATCTTTCCTTGCCATCTTTTATTTCTAGTAAAAAAAAAAAAAAGTCATGCATTGTCAGTTGTGAATAAAAGTCCAACTTGTTTAAATAAGTAACAGTCTGTACCTAATGTGGTTTAGTAAACTTGTGTTTACTTACACTTTGCACTTTTTTTGTTTGTTCATTAGAAACTGTCAGATTCTGAGCATCTACTTTGAGTGTTCAGAGAACTTTCTGTGGTGGAGGACTGAGGAACATTTTAATTTCTATCCTGTGAGATCACAGGACAACATTTCATGTGGATGTCCCTTTCCTCCCACACCTTTTAAAGTCTCCTTGAGGCATTCTAATGACTTTCATTAATAACAGCAATAGAAAAAAGGTTTCTTAACAATTTTTACGTAAGGGAAATAAGATTGTTTGTAATTGAAAAGTAGCCACTTAAGATTATGGCTGTTCATGGTATTTACTCATCCCTTGAGTGTCTCCTACCTGACTAGTTCAGAGAAAACCCCTTCCTTCTTTGGGTCACTACTTAGCACTCATTTTCTTTTCATTATACCAGTATTCCTTGCTCTTGCTGGAACCTCTGACATCAAATCATCTCTTTCTTACCTTGCTGCTTTGGAGTGGCATAAATGTATGCCACTATAGATCAACATTTATTAGACCCATCCCAAATCTAGGACAGTTTTTTGCTGGTGATTGAGAGAAGACAGAAGGATCAAACCCCTTGCACATAAATCTTACCATATAGAAGTTGGAATTATGGTAATTTCAGCTCCACATGCATGTAGTTACAAGTTACAGGAAATGGCTCTATTGAGATATAAATGTCTGGTATGCCTACTTAGAAATTTGAATGCCTTTTCTTATAGAATCATTATACATAATGATTATTTTATTACTTTTTAAATTTCTTTAGGTACATCATGTACTATTTCTGTAAGCTGGTTTAGGAATATATTTTCCATTAATAACATTGTTTTTATGTACCAGACAACTGATTTAGCAAACCATTTAAATTGAGGATGACCTATACTTTTGTTGCCTTATCTTTTTTCAGTCCTCCTCCCCTCAAAATGTTCTCATCTATTGCCCATTTGGTTTGAAATTTACTGGCCTGGATTGGGACATATACATAATTAAAAGTTTATAATATTGTTCATTATATAATTATTATACATTTCTAATAGCCTATAGATGGCCTCATTTACATTTGTCACAGACTATTATGTGATAACTATATTTTTATGCTTCATACTTTCAACTTTATAGGAAATTATTGTTATTAAACAAATGAAAAAACTTTAGGCCTTTTGATGCCTTGGAATCAAAAAAGTGATAATTGTACTTTCTAGATTTCTAAGGCAGTGGAGAACTTGATAGACACTCCCTTGACTGGATATAGATAGGTAGGAAGAAGGGCTAAGTGGTTTTTCATTTGCCATCAACAAAACCAGTGCTGAAAATGCTAAGCAGAAAAACAATTTATTAAAAAGATATCAGGGGAAAACACAGTAAATACAACTAATAGACACATTTACTAATTGTATATCAAGAGGAACTTGCTTCTGTGTGTTAAGCACTCCTTTTAAATAAATAACAGTGAAAGAGAATATGAGTGAGAGAATACAGATGAGTTGGAGCAAACACATCACTGCCTTTCTTGGTGAACCTTCAGATAAAGAACATATTAAAGTACAAAAGGATATTGGATAGCTCAGAGACTCTTTAAAAGGGCTAGTGAACATGTTTAGGAGGCAGGAATATGGCCAGAAATTCTGTTGCAGAACTGGTCCTGTGAAGATACCACTTGGCAAAGAAACTACAACTTGCACTGTGAATGCCAGCAATGCCAGATACTGGATGTTTCCACCTGATCTGCTGTACAGATGTGGGATAAGTCAGAGTTAGCCAGAAAAAGGGGGTCAATAAAGCACATATATCCTGTGCTACTTTTGTGAAACTGGAAGATCTTTTTGATTAGGAACAGAGGGAGTAAGGGATATGGGGGTGGGGAGATAGGAGGCCAATTAAAGGCGTTTGAAAAATTCTAGAAAAGAGATGATAAGTAGCTAGACTAGGGTAGTAACAGTGGGAAGTAAGAGATTTAAGTTTAGTGGAAAGAGTTGACAACACCTTTAATTTATTGAATTTGGGGACTTAGAATGGGGGTAATGGAGAAGGTGAAATGAAAGACACCAGGTTTCTGTTTTGGATAATTGGGCAGATGATTATGTCATTCATTGAGAGGAAGAACAGATTTGGATCTCCTGCATGGAGGTTATAGTGGTAGCCATAAGAGAGACTGTGCTGAAACAGATCCTAAGTTCTTTTGGTTATATGTTTAGAAATACTCAGAATAGGAGTTATATAACCAATTTATCCATCTTTTAAGAAAGGAGTTTTAAAATATATTTTTTCCGTGTGGACTAATGTTAGCATGTTTTAAACTTTGGCGTCATTTGGGAATAACAGGTTAAATGTAGTTTTGTGTTTGTCAGACTCCATCTAAGTGTATGTAAAATGTTGAAAGTAGCACATATTTACAGCTCTTTTGCACTGCATTTCAATGTTGAATATTTACCTTTTTTAATTTAACATGATTTTATTTTGTTAATATGCTGATGTTTAAATAAGCAACTCATTTCAGTCACAACTCCAAGTTATTGAGTCTTAGGGTTACTAGACTAGTGTTAAATTTTAAATCTTGTAGATTGTGCATTTAATTTCAAAACTATAAACTCAGCCCCAAGATGATTTATTTATTATTAATTTGACATATGAGAATTACTGATTATTGTTCAGTTAAGTGTGAAAGGAATTCAAAATAAGTTAAAATCCCTTAGATGACTGTATTTAGATGTACATATATTTCTATTTCTTCTAAAATGTATATTTGGACAAAAATCCAGAACTTTGTTTTTAATGCAGATTTAAGGAAGTGGCTACGATTAACAGAAAATATTAATCTATGCTTTCTTTTCTTTTGTTTCAAACAGAAAAGCCTCCTAATAAAAGCAGTATGAGGATAGTAGTGGATTCAGAGTCAAGAAAAAGAACCATTGGTTCTGGGGAGCCTGGAGTTCCTACAAAGAAGACTTGGTTTGATAAGTAAGCTGGCAGGGGAAATTGAGGAATTTTATTATGCAGTGATCTTTAGGATCGTTGCAGTATTATTGTGACAGTATAGTGGTCTCTTTCAAAATAAAATTTATTCTGTAGGCAGTCCCCAACTAAAGTGTATAGTATTTGTTTTCTAAAAATATGTAAGTTAGTTGTCTGGTACTTGGAAGGTACTTTCTTATAGAAATGGTGTGGTGGTTGAGCACATAATTTTTCCTATTTGTACCTCCCCCTACCTTCACAAAAACAACAACAACCCACCCCTTAACTTAGCAATGTTGTCGAATACTAGCTGTTTAAAGGATAGTCATGAGCCTACTCTTAGGGAAGGAAGGAAGGGTTAGGTATGAGAGGAGGCTTTACATGTGGGCAGTTCCTGTTAGGAGTTAGAAAGCAGCCTTTGTGGGGGTAGGGGAGGCTGTGTGTTTGATGATTCATTTACAAATTTGCATGTTTGAGGAAAGACTGAGATCACACTTTTAGAGCTTTAACATATGTTTAATAATGGATAATTTCTAGTTCTGTTTCTGCCTTTAATTCTGTGATTTAGGGCAAGCAATGTAACCTCCCTGGGCCACAGTTTTGACCCCCTTTCTTCAAGTGTCAAACGTATGGTCTACAATTCTGACTTTTTTTTTTAATTGGAAGGAGGTCGAGACAGTCATTTCTTGCTTTTAATCAATGTTTTGAAGTAGGAAATATCTCAGTAAGTTAGCCTTTGCAGAAATGGCAAAGGTTATATAGGCAAATTGACTCAAAGAGGGTGCTAAGAACTTTTCTGCTAAGAATTTTAAGTAGGAGTGGAATAGAAGTGGAAAGGAACAAATGATGAGGAAGAAACCTTCTCATTTGGCTTCCATAAAAGATAATGAACACTACTCATTTGGAAACTTCATTTTTTGAGGAAAAAAAAAATTCCCTTTATCAACTAGCAATTTCCATTTTGAAAAAAAAATTGAACTTAAGTTGCAAAACTTTATTCCTTTGTACTTGATAGGGATCAGGATTTATAAATGAATGTATTGTATTAATTAACTTGATTTTTGTTACAGGCCAAATTTTAATAGAACAAACAGCCCAGGCTTCCAGAAAAAGGTTCAGTTTGGAAATGAAAATACCAAACTTGAACTTAGAAAAGTTCCTCCAGAATTAAATAATATCAGCAAACTTAATGAGCATTTTAGTCGATTTGGAACCTTGGTTAACTTACAGGTAAGAGCTTTGAAGTGATTCTGTTGTCTCTGCTTAATTATCTAGAGAGGGAATCTTAATATAGTAAGAAAAATAGTTTTATAAGAAAATATTATGGAAACTTTGGTAATATTTTAAGTTTAGAAAATTGGATATGAAGTGAAACTTTTTATTTTAGGAAAATGTGTGATTTTGAATAACCTATTTACTTTCAAAAGGCAGGAGACTTGATTGATCTTATTATACACTTTTTACCTAATAGAGATTATCATAAAATTACAGCAAAGTTAAATAACCACAGTGGTAAAATCTAATCTTAAAGTAGTTTTCATTTCCTTAGTTTCACATTAGCAGAATGCTTCAGTCAGATTTATTTTTGCTGCCCCTATGGTGGGACACATTTAATAGATACTTTGGGGGCCCATATACCAGGTAATCCATAATCAGTTTAAACATTTACTTTTTTCTCTTCCACTTTTGAACATCTTTTAAGATAAATATCAGTGTAATTTGTATTTGATTTCCCCTAAAATTAGACCTTGGCTTAGGTATATGTTACTTGTGAGGTTATTTAGTATTGAGTTTACATTATGTAATATGTTGAAAGTTCAAATAATGTTGGGCTTCTTCTCCAGTTTGTGCAGCATTCTTTTGAACTAAATTATTTCCCATAATTGGATAAGAATAAATGTTAGAGAGTACAGCTTAAGTTGATATTTGGAAAAATTTGTTTTCTTTCCATTTAAAAAATAATATTATAAAAGTAATAGATGAGGAACTTCCCTGGTGGTGCAGTGGTTAAGAATCCACCTGCCAATGCAGGGGACACGGGTTTGATCCCTGGTCCAGGAAGATCCCACATGCCGCGGAGCAACTAAGCCCGTGCGCCACAACTACTGAGCCTGCACTCTAGAGCCCACGAGCCACAACTACTGAGCCCGCGTGCCTAGAGCCCGTGCTCCACAACAAGAGAAGCCACCGCAATGAGAAGCCTGCGCACTGCAACGAAGAGTAGCCCCAGCTCGCCGCAGCTAGAGAAAGCCCTCAGGCAACAACGAAAACCCAACGCAGCCAAATCAGTCAGTCAGTCAATCCCTAAAATGAAAAGAAAGTTCAACAAAAAAGGGTGGGGCAGTAGAGATTTACATAGAATTTAAAGAAAATGTGTTCAGCTCTCTGTCTCTTCCATTCTTCTCATATATACCCATAATATTATTACTTTATTGGTAACAATTTACCATGTGTTATTTTGGATTTTTTGTTTTGTATTTCTGTGAGTATGGATCTACCTATATAAATCAGTATGCAAACTTAAAAATATGTACATATTTAAAAGTATGTGGGTCTCTAGTATACATATTACCCTGTAGTTATTTACTGCATCTTGAATATCTCTAAATATCTTTTTATGGCAATTCGATTTATCTACCACGTTTAGATCTAGACTTTAAAAAGTACTTTTCCTTACACAGTTAACTACATTAGTAATATTAAATTTAAAGAAGTTTAAAGCTGAGGGTTAAAACATGGTATCTCACTATTGTTTCAACTTGTATTTCCTCAGTTACTGGTGAGATTGGTATCTTATCTCTGTACAGGTCCTACTGCTGTATCTGTATACTACCTGCATTATTATTTATAAAATACATATATTTGAAAGTTAGTTTAAAGAAACCTTTTAGCTTTATCCTAATATAACTGCCCCCCCCTCTGTTTTACATGAATTACTATTTAATTCTTAACTACTGAGTGGGTATTGTTATCTGGAGCGAGGTTGCTTGATTCAGGGTCTGTGTGCTTAATCCCTATTTTGTATTGCTTTGCATCACCAGTAGTTTATATAACATACTTTGGAAAGTACTGGTATTATTGAAAGAACAGGAAATTGAACACTAAAAAGCCCTGGATCTACTACTTACTCGTTGTATGGATCTACAGAATCACGTACTCTTTGAATCTTAGTTTCCTTATGTGTAAAATGTGATTGTTGCTATTGTTTTGTAGATCTTACTCCCCCTGCCCACCTTAAATTTTCTTACGCTCTTGGAAATATTTTTGTGAGGTTTACCAATTTGGAAAATTTTACAGATGGATTTTTCTGTGATTTTCAATTAGAGATCACTCCTTTCAAAGTAGTTTACTGACTTTTTCTGACTCTGGGGATCTAAGTCATGTCACTCAGTGACATAAGGATTATTTCTCATAGCCTTAATATTGGGGGTAAAAAGTGAAACATTCTAATGCTTGTATTTAACATTTGTGCAGTGAGCATTCTCTACTAAGTGTTATATAGAGGAGGCTCTGATTCCACTCTGAACGGTCCTCAGTTACCATTTCTTCTGGAGTGAAAGTAGGCTACGGTAATAATCTAGATATAAGGAAGTGTAAAGATAGACTCTTACTTGGAGGACCAATATTTCATTTCTTGGGGAATTTTACTGTATAAAGCAATAGATTCATTTGCAAATTCACTGTGCTTAATATTTTAAATCTTAGGTTGCCTATAATGGTGATCCTGAAGGTGCCCTTATCCAATTTGCAACATATGAAGAAGCAAAGAAAGCAATATCAAGTACAGAAGCAGTGCTAAACAATCGCTTTATTAAGGTTTATTGGCACAGAGAAGGAAGCACCCAGCAGTTACAAACTACTTCTCCAAAAGTAAGAGAGAAATTTGTGTGAAATTAAATGCTTCTCTTGGAACGCTCTTGGCACAGTGTTTTTTTTTTGTTTTTTTGTTTTTGTTTTTGTTTTTTTGCGGTACGCAGCCCTCTCACTGTTGTGGCCTTTCCCGCTGCGGAGCACAGGCTCCAGACGCGCAGGCTCAGCGGCCATGGCTCACGGGCCCAGCCGCTCTGTG